GAAGTACTTACTGATGAAGACCTTCAGTATGGATTACACCTCAGCATAAAACAAAAAAATCCTCACAAGTGGATCAGTAAGCAACATCATGATTAAACTGAGAAGCTACTGAAGTTGTCAAAGATTTCATTTTACTTGGATCTGCAGTCAACGCCCATGGAAGCAACAGTCAAGAAATCAAAGTATTATTGCATTGGATAGATCTGCTGGAAAAGACTTCTTTAAAGTGTTAAAAAGCAAAAATGTTACTTTGAGGACTAAGGTGCACCTGACTCAAGCATTGGAATTTTCAGTCGCCTCATAACGCTTTTTGAAAGCTAGACGATGAATAAGGAAGACCAAAGAAGAATTGATGCATTTGAATATTGAGTATACCATGGACTGCCAAAAGAACGAACACATTTGTCTTGGAAGAAGTACAGCCAGAATGCTCCTTAGAGCATACTTTGGACATGTCATAAGGAGGGACCAGTCCCTGGAGAAGGACATCATGCTTGGTAAAGTATAGGGTGAACGAAAGAGGAAGACCCTCAGCAGGATGGATTGACACAGTGGCTACAACAGTGAGATAAAACATAGCAGTGACTGTGATGATGGCACAGGACCAGGCAGCATTTCATTCTCTTGTACATTCGGTTGCTGTGAGTTGGAATCAATTCGATGACAGTTAACAACAACACTCAGATAACTGTAATACCAGGCTGTATAAAGTGTTAGGTCCTTCGCTAAGTTCTGTTGGTATGCTGAAGAAACAATCATTATCAGAGAAAGTGAGTTTGTAAGATGGGTAAGATTTAAACAGGGATTTGGGAAGTTAGTGGGACTATCATTCCAAGCAAGGAGGAGAAGAGTATAAGCACAATCAAAATTATGGTAGAGAAGTGATGTACTTTGAAAACAGAAGTCTGGAGCATTGGTATATTGAAAGGGATACTACTCTAAAGCAAATTGGATCCTTGAATGCCAGGAAAAGGAATTTTAGTTGATGGTAATTTCAGAGCTGCTTAAGAATGTTGAGCAGAGGAATGAAGAAGGGGAATTTGCTGATGGCTTGTAGATGGATTTGGACAAAAAGCGTTTTTTAGAGGCACAGAGACTAGTTGGTTAGTGTCACTGAGAAAGGGCAGATATAGGTGTCAGTAGAATTTGGCAATAGATTGGCAAAGTTTGAGGGTGTGGAGTGAGGGACAACTTTAAGAGAATAATGATACCTTTAACTGAAATTGGGAATTACAAGGAAGAGCTGGTTCTAGTTGAAGGCGACTTAGGTTTCAGAAATTTTGAGTTTTGCAGTTTCAGGACTAGAACCAGGTGAATAATTTGGCTGTCATTCCTATAGTTGAAACCTTGGATAATAATACATTTATTGTAATCTCTCTTAAAAAATGTATTTTTTACGAACACAAAGAAAAATGGTGTAGATGGCACACGAGACTGTTTACATTGGTTAAGTATATGGAGTAGGGGAGGAAGGAGATTTATTTATTTTTTTAATATGGTTTGGTTTTCTGAATCTCCTTTTATAATTTGAAAAACAATAAGAAGGGTTAACTATATGAAGAAAAAAATTCAATAATATAGAGGGAAAAAAGAACTTAGAGGGCATTTCTTAAACTGAAGGCAGGTATGTAGAGGAAGAAAAAGTCTGAATTTGGACCCTTGGGAATGCTTAAAATTTTTTTAAAAAATGTTTTAACTTTATTATCTATTTTTAATTTTAATGTGTTTTAGGTGAAATAAATGCTCAAGTTTAATGAGCAGGAAAGATAAAGCAGTGGCATGAGTTCAGTGTGAGACAAAGGAGGAATTAGCTGGAAGTGTAGAACTTGAACCTGAGTTCCTAAAGAAGTCTTTTAAAAAAAAAAGAATTTAAATATGCTCTAAGGTTTAATAGGAAAAAGTGTTTTTTATTTTGGTTCTTTTTAATTCTTCAGTTTTTGTTGATGGAATTATTTTAAATATTTTTAATGATTATAACATTCTTTAGGATGTGTTCTTTAAAAAAAAATTAACTTGTTAAAAACAATATGTATTACTACAAACTCATCTTAAAGATCCTTTCTTTAGTAATTTGGTATCTAGACCTATAGTACTACTTGAATTGCTTTGGAAATTAGAAAATAAGGGATGAGGTTTAAAATACTAATATGCTTGGTTTGTCCTGTTGAATGCTGACTTTACAAAACTCTTAGCCTTTAAGCATAAATTGTCTTGAGTGTTAATTGTATTAAAGTTCAGAACTTTGAAAATACTCATATTAAGTGAAGAGTAGCATCACTGTGTAGTAGAAACATTCGTTAGAATATTTCATTCCAATGACTTTTTCTTGTTTTTTCTCTTTAGGTATATTTGTATCCAGTGTTGTTCTCATCTTGTCACAGCGATCACTTTTCAAGTTTTACATGTACAGCTCAGCCTTTCTACTAGCTGCAACTTCAGTGTTGGTGAATTATTATGCTTCTTTGCATATTGACTTCTATGGTGCCTACAACACATCAGCTTTTGGAATTGAGCTACTTCCTCGAAAAGGGCTTTCATTATGGATGGCACTGATCGTTCTACAGCTAACATTTGGAATTGGATACGTAACACTACTCCAAATTCATTCCATCTATTCACGATTAATTATTTTGGATCTCTTGGTTCCTGTAATAGGCTTAATCACAGAGCTACCAGTACACATCAGAGAGATGTTAGTTTTTATTTCTTCTTTGATTCTCACATTAAATACAGTGCTTGTATTGGCAGTGAAACTTAAGTGGTTTTATTATTCCACACGATATGTCTATCTTTTAGTGAGGCACATGTATCGAATTTATGGATTACAATTACTGATGGAGGACACGTGGAAGAGGATTCGTTTCCCAGATATACTCCGAGTCTTTTGGCTAACAAGAATTACAGCTCAGGCTACAGTGTTAACGTACATTTTAAGGATGGCAAATGAAACTGAGTCTATCTTTATTTCTTGGGATGATTTCTGGGACCTTGTTTGCAATCTCATCATTAGCGGATGTGATTCTACACTCACTGTTCTGGGCATGAGTGCTGTCATTTCCTCAGTAGCCCATTATTTGGGACTTGGAATATTGGCCTTTATTGGATCCACTGAAGATGACGACAGGCGGCTTGGCTTTGTAGCACCTGTTTTATTTTTCATTTTGGCTCTTCAGACTGGTTTAAGTGGGTTAAGGCCAGAAGAGAGACTTATTCGCTTAAGTAGAAACATGTGCCTTTTATTAACTGCAGTCCTGCATTTCATCCATGGAATGACAGACCCTGTGTTAATGTCTCTCAGTGCCTCTCATGTGTCATCCTTTCGTAGACATTTTCCCGTGCTGTTTGTCTCTGCTTGCCTGTTTATTCTTCCTTGTTTACTCAGTTATGTTCTTTGGCATCACTATGCACTAAATACATGGTTGTTTGCAGTGACAGCCTTTTGTGTGGAACTCTGCTTAAAAGTAATTGTTTCTCTCACTGTTTATACGTTATTCATGATTGATGGCTACTATAATGTCCTCTGGGAAAAGCTTGATGATTATGTCTACTATGTTCGTTCAACAGGCAATATTATTGAGTTTATATTTGGAGTAGTAATGTTTGGCAATGGGGCTTATACTATGATGTTTGAGTCAGGAAGTAAAATTCGGGCTTGTATGATGTGCCTGCATGCATATTTTAACATCTACTTACAAGCAAAGAATGGCTGGAAGACATTTATGAATCGTAGGACTGCTGTTAAGAAAATTAATTCACTTCCTGAAATAAAAGGGAACCACTTACAAGACATAGATGATGTATGTGCAATCTGCTACCATGAGTTTACAACGTCTGCTCGTATTACACCATGTAACCATTATTTCCATGCACTTTGCCTTCGGAAATGGCTGTACATTCAAGACACGTGTCCAATGTGCCATCAAAAAGTGTACATCGAAGATGATATCAAGGATAGTTCCAGTACAGCCAACAACAGCGGATTTATTGCACCCAATGAAAATCCAGAGGAACCTATAATAGAAGCTGCTGCTGAATCTGACCGGGAACTGAACGAAGACGACAGTACAGATTGTGATGATGATGTTCAAAGAGAAAGAAATGGAGTGATTCAGCACACGGGTCCAGCAGCTGAAGAGTTTATTAATGATGATACTGACTGATTAAAATAGCATTTACTAATCGAGGTATTTAAAATTCAGTTCATCCAAAATGGAGTAATATGCTTCACTTCAGTGTATATCCAAGCACAAAAACAGTATCAGTGTTGAATCTGTGAATGGTTTTCCGTTTACTGTGATGTGCTACTGTAAATATACCTCTTTAATTACTTCTGGTCTCTTTGGTGACCTATTTAAATTTGTGTACATTATTGTACATAGAATAAAATGTTTTCACGTTTTTATGACAAAATTTGAACAAACAGTTTTTTAATAGACATAGTAATACAGTGCGTCAACTGTGCCAAAGATTCCTCAATGAAAGTATATAATGTATCTAACTCTGGACCCTAGTTTGTCTTTAAAATGGGTGGGAGAATGAAAATGCAAGTCAGAGCAAACCACATTAAAGTCAAGGAAATACAATAATTTGGAACAGAGGATAACGGCTATACATTGTTTTAAAACTAAGGAAAAAATAAGCCTACCAGATCAACTGAGAAGCTTTTTTGAAATCTGAGAGTAGTAGCAGTGTAGTTGTGCTGAGTTTGAAGTCATGATTCACAGACTGTTTAGAGAAACAGTCCTGTATCAACTAAACTCTGATATGAACCAGAATGTGCTAGTTGTTTAATTTTGATGTAAAAGCAATGTATTTGCTAGTCATTCTGTGTTTGAAGTGTTGACAAAATGGTCCTTTCAGACTTTTGAAGAGATTACAAAATGAAAATAGTTGGGAGTTTTCATTGTTTTAAACTAGGGCTTTAAGTGATGATCTAAAAAATCCTGATCTGATTTTATGGATATAAATGAGAAGGATGGTGTGTGGTGATATACAATACCTCTTTAAACAGCTTCCAGATAAGTCCTTTATTGAAACTTTCAGTAAGTTTTACCATGAAATTTTACATACATTATGGGAAACGGAAGACATCCAGTTACATATCAGGGAAAAATATTTTAATGGTGTTGTTATACAGAGTATTGGCTAATTCCAGTGGGTCCTCATCTCTTACTGCCGACATTATCTCCAGTATTTGACTAAAACAAACAAACGAACGGACCGTCAAATTTCGAAGTACATGTTCTCTTTTAAAGGTCTACAATCATCATTTTCCACACAAAGATAATGTACTAGTACCTTTAACACAATGAGCAAAGCTCAGTAATTAAAATTTTCAGCAATATCACAAACTTTTAACTTATTACTGGTAGAATATTTACAGCAATTAGAGACAAATTTCTCGGGCTGTCTTACATACAACTAGAGCCAAGAACCAGGTTCAAATATATTATAACACCAGCCATCTCTATAACGTGTAGCACAATTATGAACTTAACCCAATGGAAATGAAGACTGCTTTTAAACGGGGTCACGACATATATTAGTGGGTCACGATGAGCATTTAAAAAAAAGTATACCACACTTAGGGTAACTACTATTTCATTTTTGGTTTTATTCATATATGTGTGTATGTACTGTGGGGGCAGCAGTCAAAGTGTGACAGCTACTGCTTAGAGAACTAGTTCTTTAGATACAGCAGGAAACTGCTGCATGATCCCTAGCACAATGATAGCAAAGGAGGTTATGTTCTTTGAATAATGCAGTGTTGTGATTGGGGGAGGGGAGGGGTGATGATAGAGACGGGAAAGAGCTTACTACTGATCCTATACTGTTCCTCTTGCAAGAGAGGACAGCCCAGGTGGCCATCTTTCAGTTTCTCTGCTTAGAATCATAATTAGCAGTAGTGCTTCCTAGCAATATTATATATAGGTAGAATATTTTTTATACGTGAGCTAGAAAACTTTGAAGTCAAACATATACTCATAGTCTTAAGCTTTTTGTTCCCTTAATGAGTATCTTAAATGTGAACACCAGAAGGAATTAGAGAAGATTTAAGATTTAACGAATTTTTTCTTGTTCTGTAATAGTGGCACAAAAGCCTACTTAATATACTAAATGAACTGACTGTATGAAATCTTTGTTGACAGTCAAAATATGCTAAATGCAAATCTATTAACATTTAAATTAGGACACTAAAAGTCCAGTTCTCTTAGTAAGCTGCGGAATTTTCCTCTGTATGAACTACTGGGAATTGGAACTTAAAGAGTGCTGCTAATCGTGTACGATTTCAAAGTTCATCATAGCTTTTCTAGAAATATAAAAGTCTACTGGAGTTCAGTAGAATATTCTATTGTACTAAGTCTGATAATACAAAGTTTATGGCATTCTTAGAACAACTTTTTGCACTTGAGCTATTTCCATGTATATTCAGTAGCCTAAAAAGCTGCAGTCATTCTAGAAAAGAATATGAAGTTTAGTGTCCCTGAGAATTCAATGGTTTCTTTTGTTTAAGGTGACATTTTTACAGTAGGCACAGGTTTTAAAGGTCATGCAAACAGTAATCTGATTCAAGCATTACTACATGCATAGTACTGTGCAACAGCTATGATTCCTGCCACCCATCTCTCCATTTCAGCCCTTCCCACACTGATGCCAGTTACAGCTTAAAAAAAAAAAACACAAAACTGCCACTTTCCCGATTAAAATCCTCTGCATCCTGATAAAATCTACTACTAAGCTTGGCATACAAAAGCCCTCACGATGTGGCCTCACTCTGCCTTCCCAGACTCATATTCTCCCACTTACCCCTGGCATCCTACTTTCTGCCACACTAAACTCATTGTTCCCCTGATCAGTCAGGCCCTCGGAGTCAGCCTTTGCTCAAGATGATTGTCTTTGTCTGGCCTAACTCCCAGTCAGGCTTACAGAACTGGTGAAATGTCACCTCAGTAAAGCTCTCCTATTTCTCCCGTGTCCTAGGGTCCCAGTGGTATACCTCTATAGCAGCACTATAATTTATCTGTTTGCTCCAGGAGGGCAGGGATCCTTGTCTGATCTGTTATGTTAAATGTCTTATCCATAGTGCCTAGCAGGACGTACCTACTCCTACTGTGGATGAATGCGGGCAGGGACTACCTTGATTCCTTTGGAGCCTTAGTAACTTGTACCTTTCCTGCCATGGGAGGAGCTCCAAAATGTTTCAGGGAATTTATAATCTAAAAGGGAGTGAAGATCTCTGTATAAATAATTACAACACAGAACTGGTAGTGGGATGGAGGTTGATAAAATGGCTTTGATAAATAGGAATTAACATGCTAATTAGTAATTAGCACTAGACTAAGAGGCGTGTGCTTTCGAAATGTGGTTTAAATGTTTTCAGTTGGCAAATGTTCATTTTCCCAAGCTCCGCCTACTCTATTAAAGAGTTGGTATTCATGATGACAGTTGATACCCAAGCCTTTATTGTTGTCTACATTTAAAAACACCTTGAAATCTGGTCTTCAAAATATATAGTTCAGGTCAATACTTATAATTTTACCCAACAGGCAGTTTGGAAAACTGACTTGGGGTACACTGTTGGCACTACTTCCTCTCAGCTGGCTACTGGCAAAATACTCATTTCTTGTCTCAAAAGAATTATTCAGAAATATTATCTCTTGACTGAATTTGCAAGTACCTTTCATAAAAAATGCAAGTGATTCTTTACTAACCAGATTTTAAAAGTATTCCTCCCACTATGAATTTTGAAGCATTCAGTTTCAAAGTCGTTGTCAGTACCAATATGTTGATAAAGGAAAAGAATCTTTCAAAATATATTTATAGAACAATCTTTCTCTTCTCTGCCTGCTGAATTTTAGATATGGCTTATGTAGTACTCTTTGTTTTAAAAAAAATAAAAAAGATGGTGCACATAGAAGGAATTATTCTAGTCCAAAAGTAATTCAATATTAATTTTTATAAATGTGTTATAAATATGCCCAACTGTCTGAACTGGTAAACCATACTAGATTTGATATAAATTTAAATAATCTGTGCAAACAAAAAGAAATTGGATGATGTGCCCATTAAAATGATGTAACAAACCTTTCCTGTATGTTACAATGTTCTTCAACAGCTCCTTGTCAGATGGGTAACAGAGTCCCTCTTTTCACATGTACTATGTATTAAAAATTACTCTGAATTACTGCTTTTACAGAAACTGAAATTCTCTACCATTTTTTGGTGGCTGGAAAAAGGAATCCTCTCTATCGCTCCAGAAAGAGTTGTTAGTTTTATTCAGGTTGAAAAATCATTTAAAATACAGATACTCTTCACAGAAAGGTCTCCCATTAAGGCTGCATTTTTATAAATGTCAGCAGGGAAGTTGGAGGACTTAAACCAGGTAAGGTGATTATGTGGGTAGCTTAAAGAATTTTTCTGCCTCCAACAAAATGACAAATGACCAAAATCATAGGGTTTCTCACAGGGGCAATAAAATCACTTTGGGTTGAGATAAAACCAAACCAAACCTGTTGTGGTCGAGTTGATTCCGACTCTATATAGGACAGAGTAGAACTGCCCAATAGGGTTTCCAAGGAGCGGCTGGTGGATTTGAACTGCTGACCTTTTGGTTAGCACCCGTAGCTCTTAGTCACTGAGCAACCAGGGCTGAGAAGAGGGCAAAAAAATCACTTTGGTTGAGAGGATCTGAAAAGAGTGGAGCTAAAGCAGTTCAGGTGCAAATTCCTTCAAATCACTGCATTAAAATGGTGGTCTCTGGAACTTCATTTAGATTTCACAAAACTTCAGTAACACCATACTAATTCTGTCCTTCCAATTCTTTTTGTAAGTGGCATTTAGTGGTTGATTTTAATGTTTACTAGTGTTTTTGAAGACCATGAAAGCAAAATACTTACATTATATGGCAAGGTTCATTTCTGTCTTTCAAGCAGTGCCCGTTTTCCCACTTCTTTTTGGTAGGAAATGAAGTTTTTATGTATTTTGATCCTGCATGTGTACTTTTGACTCCACACCAAGGTGCATCTAGAGTTAAGCAAAGAAAGAGAAGTGTCTCCTATAGGTTTGTTTACCTTTTTATTGTGTTTTTAATGAACATTTCAAACTAATACATAGCCTCTAAAATATGTCTCTATTCAGCTTCAAAAAAGGCAAAATTAATGTAACAAAACATTTTAAGAAAAGCAAAAACCTTGAATTGTACAAAATCTTATGTGTTTTATAGGACTCACTTTTTTTTCCTGCTAACATTATTGGATTATAGCATACTTTAAAAAAAAAACAAAAAACCCTAAACCTAAAAGAAATACAATTATAACTTGAAAACATTTATTTTAAATTTTTATATTGCCTTTACTGAATGTAAAACAGTGTCTTTGAATACTGGAGTTATTCATTTACCTATTTCTTTAATAAAGAAATTATAATAGCTTACATATTTTACAAGCATTGTACTTTTAATAAAAACATTTAATTTTTTCTCTACACTTATGATTCATGATTTTATTATAGTAAAAATGCTACAAATGAACAGATACATAAGGTGAGGTCTGTGAGGGTTTCTAATGCAGAGAGCTTCCATATCCCAAAAAGGGACGTGCTGCCCTCCTACCTGCATCGCAATCTATCACCAACCAGGAAGCCCCTGAAAATTTTCATTTTCGTGACTACCAAGAAAATAATGATTTCTCCAGAACGGCTTAATCTACTAGAGTTCATAATATAAGGATAAGGAAGCCTTGAGTTCCATGATTTAGGTTATATTTTTAGCTTCTATCCTTGTTTTATTTTAGGAGGCAACAGATTAATTTCTAAAATTTTTATTGTTGCTGTTAGCTGCTGTCATTGTTCTACCACTCATGAAAATCCTATGCACAATGGAACAAAACGCTGCCTGGTCCTGCACCATCTCCATGATTGGTTGAAGATTGGACCCTGTGATCCATAGGGTTTTCACTGGCAGATTTTTGGAAGTAGATTGCCAGGTATTTCTTCCTTGGCTGTTTTAGTCCAGGAGCTCTGCTGAAACCTATTCAGCATCATAGCAACATGTAATCTGCCACTGACAGAGGGGTGGTAGCTGTGTACAAGGTGCATTGGCTTGGAAATGAACCTGGGTCTCCCACATGGAAGGTAAGAATTCTACCAGTGAACCACCAATGCATCATTCTTATACTATATTCTTGTACAATGTTTTAATTTTTTGCACTTTATTTAAAAAGTGTTGGAGAATTAAATCATTATAAAGACTGTGTAAAAAAATTCTAATAGTTTTTGAAAACCTGAGGTGAAATGCTTATTAGCCAAGACTCTTCATTTAATTAAGTATTCACAGCTACAACCTAAATTCTTAATTACCACATGTTCTGACATCCATTTTTTAAGTGCTTAACCTTAGTCAAACTTCTAAAATTAAAAAAAGCCACTTGCATAAATATTTTTCCATCCATTGATAGCAGCCCCCAAAGGTCTTCTGAAAAGTATAACTGTTGATTGAAGCTGAGCATACTGTTTGTTCATTTTAATGGTAAACCTGAGGTCAGATTTTTTCTCTAGGTTTTTTTTGGTATGGCTTAATGAAAATTAAAATTCTAAAAACATAAAACTTACCAGTCTCAATCATTAATTTTTCACTAGGTATTGACTTCAAAACTTCTAAATTAGCCTCAGTTTTCAGTGAGCTAAAAAAAAAAAAAGAAGTCTGTATATGAATACACACATATATACATATATATATACACACACAGTATGTATATATAAATAATAAACAGGTGGCATTTAACAAATAACTTTCATATTATAAACTTACGTTTAACATAAATTACAAACTTTAGTTGGCCACACTGGCAGTATACTTATCACTGTAGCATGTGTTTGCACATTTGTATCCTTCACAGAATCCAAATATTTGTCCCAACCAGATGCTACCTTAAGGGGGATGCAATTTTTCATGCTTCTTAGTTGATTCTCCAATAGCTTTCTGTATCATCCAAGTAAAATTTAACTTTTTAAAAGAATTCATTTACTCCTCTGTAATTTGCATAACTCTGAGGTGCTCATAAAGCTGTTTGAAGGATTCTTTATGGGCCAAATACAGGGATTCACTGGTGTGAAGGAATCAGTATTAGACAGTCAAAGTTCATGTTTCGCTAATGAAAAATATAATCTTCACAAAGGATGGAAATCACAATTACTGTTAGAATGGTGGGTTTATTTAACAAGGAGATGCCATTTTGATTCTCGCTCTTTTGTAGGTACCTTTCCCCACCCTCTATCTGGAAAGTTTTAGGATCTTCCATTATTCTTGATGTTCTGAAACTTATGATGCTCTGTCTGAGTATAAATCTTTTTTCATCATTTGGGCAGTTGTATCCTTCCAATTTAGACTGTCCTCCTCCAAACTCAGAAAATATTATTTGGGGGGTAGGGAAGACATTGCTTCTTTTCTTCCTTCTCTCTTTCTGGGACTTCATTAGTTAGAGATTGTAGGACCCCCGAATTGGTCCACTAAGCCACTTCGTTCATGTATCTTTTTTTCTGGGAGATTTCCTTGATTTTCAGTTCCTCAGACAAATTGAATTATTGGCCCCAATTCTTTACTCTCTAATAGAATTTTATATCTGCACTCTTGCAATGGTTACCTGATAGGAAGAATGAACCCTGCCCCTGGACTGCAAAACTTGTTTGCCAATAGGGTGACAAGGCCTGAAATGCACTTAGGTGGTTTGGTTTGCACTCAGGTATCTACTGAGTAGTTGCTACCTTCTTCAGCCTGTGTGCCCAGAATGAAAACGTGGCACAGACCTGAACCCAACATGTAGCATTGTGGCAGAGATGCTAAGTCTCAATAAGCCAGACTTCAACCAAAAAAAACACAAAAAACCAAACCAGTTGCCATAGAGTCCACTCCCACTCATGGCAACCCCACGTGTGCACAGCAGAAGTGCACTCCCAGGACTGAGCAGCCTCCAGCTGAAGGGGCTAATGGTGAGCAGCATGATGAATGACAGAAAAAAGACATCAAAACACATCTTAGTAAAATTTCATAATACCTGAGAGAAACAGCTAAAAGTTTCCTCAGGAAAAAAAAAGGTCACATGAAAAAGATCAGAAATCACAATAGCAACTGAGTTTTCATCTTCAACACTGGAAACTAGAAATGGAACAGTGTAAATTTTCCATGAAAATTATTCCCAACTTAGAATTTTATAACCAGAAAAACTATCAAGTGGATTTTTTTTCTTTCTTTAAATATCCAGACAAACGTTTAAGAGGTGTATAAAATAAACTCATTTTCAAAGTCTCAAAAATTTACTTCCCATGCATACTTCCTCAGGAAGTTATCAGAGGATGTGTTCCATAAAAATGAAAAATTCATGGGATCTAAAAATAGGAGGTCCATCAAGAAGAGACATGAGTCCAAAGTGAAGCAGAAAGATGGAAAGGGCTGAAACTAACAGAACTATCAGATTATCTACACAGGTTTCCTCATGTGGAAAAATACAGGCATTTTAGAGAGCTACTGGAAAGTGTGAGAGGGCTTTGGGTTTTGAAGAAAGCCAAGTAAATTCAAAAATGAAGCAACTTACTCCAGGAAAATAAAAAAGTGGCATAAGAAAAGGATTAAGTATGTTATATCACATGGGTTCAGCATTTAATAATATTTACATAGGCATAATAATGAAAACACTGAATATGGATATAACCAAATATTCTGAAATAACTAGATTGAGAGGCATACAGATAGAATAACAGAGGTGAGAGGGATATAAAAATTAAAATGTTCATATACCTTAATAAGAATAGACAGTTAAAGGGGATGAATCAAGAGACAATTTCATCTAATTTTGGAATATGGCGATCAATAGCAAAGTGGTTGCCTCAGAAAAGTTCACTTAGGGGTGGAGGGCAGGCTGGGGGGACTGTGATAATGGTTTATAAGTCTTTTAGTACTATTTGACTTTTTAATCCATATATATGTATTCCCGTGCATATTAATTTATAAATTTAATTAAATTATTAATTTAAAATATGAACGTAGCATCTAGGATATTTAGGTAAGTCTGAACTCTACTGCAGACAATTCCATCGTTATATTTTACTAAGGGGATTTTAGTAAAAAATAATGTAATCAGAAAAGAATTTTAAGGGAATGAAACCGTGAAGAGGGGAAACAAGTCTTATACTATTTTGCAATTCATTGAATAAACTACACTGCCAGCGTGTGAAGAGACACAGGTGGAAGCTACTGGGTATTTGGAATAAAATGGACCCAGGGGCCTGCTGTGCTGGCCAACCGCTGAGTGCCCGAGGCTGAGTTTGGTATTACAGCAGCAGGTCACAAAATGAGAAGCCAGAGGACACAGCTTTTAGTGGTAATTACCACCCTCATGAGTAACTTTATATCTGTTTCTAAACTTCTGAGCCTCAGTTTCTTGATCTACAGAGATAAATAAGATGGTTATGCCACAGTATTATAACCTTTCCCTCATTGTCAGACATCACTGTGTATATGTATATGCAATGGTGTGAACACCCATGTTTTAAAGGAATAAAATGATTTGAGAGAATGAGTCAGATGGTTAGATAAAGTTAGCTGCTGATCTCAACACAGATTGCATTCCATTACTGGAACACAGGGTGGTTTATAACTTTCAAGCTTTAACTCCTAATAGTGATGTACTATTCCATTTCTTACTTAAATAATGACTGAAATTCTCAAGCAAAGATCAGTGCAAAACATGCATAAATTTAGTAAAGGCAGACTGAAGTCTTTATCAGCAATTCACTGTAAAACAATTCAAGAAATATGCTTAATATAAAAGTTTAAAAAAAAACTAACAACCTAATAAGAACGTACCAACCATTGAACCCTATGTAAAAATCCAAGTCAATCAGAGCAGCTGCTGCTTCCTTGGTACCATCAAAAGAATGCACCTAAGGACACATAGGTATAATTATTTTATTATAGTAATTACAATTTCTTTAAAATTCTAAGTAACATTAATTAGACTTTCTAAGCAAAAACACAGATGCATGTAATGGTTTTAGGTCAAATATGGTGGCCCTTACAGTTTTTGTTTCCATGTCAGATTTCACAATTATAACCTGTCATTCACTGATGTGAAGTGAGAAGGACTTAGCTGCCTAGAATTTCTCACTGTGCAGTGACATCATTGCAGATAATGCCAGGAAGGGGGGACAGGGGCACGGAGCCATGTTCTTAGACAAAAGCATGAGGAAAAGTTAGAAATGTTAATAAAACCATTTAAAATGTAGTTTTAAATACAGTTCAATTTTTCTGTTATAGGATTTTTTTTTCTGAAAGAGAAGTGACTCTTTTAAAAGGCAAATTTGAAGAAGATGTATTAACTAAAGAGGCTGTGGGAATGTTGCTCAAAATGTAAATTGTTACACAGTCAGTATCAGCTCAGCAGGCAAAAAGGATTGGGGATGGTGTTTCTCTCCTTTAAAGACAAAGGGATTAAAGCATAGTCTTTCATACTTTGGATGCATTCATGTAATCAAGAAACAACAAACAATAAAAAACAACAACTTTCCTTTAAAGGTAAGGTCACTTAGAAAATGACGTATTAACATTAAACCCGGAGTCTGAATACACTATGGCTAACATGCTTTTCAGCAATAAAGAAAAACTATGCTACACAGCTGGCTATAAAGGCCTTATTCTTTCCCCAAACATTTCTAGTTAACTAGAAAACACAGCCTTCATTAACATCAAAATAATTTTAAATGTGGTTTCTCATAAAGCATTTCAGATAATTAATTACCTATAGATTCTTTATTTGGAAATTTCTTTTTTCATAAACATCAAATATTTAAGCTAGATTCATTCCTATTGCTGTTGTTAATTTTTTAAACTACAGTGAAACCTGTGAGAGCCGGAACTCAACAGCACTGCCTTGTTTTTCTGGGTCTCGAACATTTTCTGCCTTTGACAGGGTACAGTCTTAACACTGTTCTATCGCTCATTTTGGTGGAAAATATTTGTGTTTTCCTTCTCTGACGAGTTTCCACCTTACATAGGTTCCTGCTCTTGCAGGTTTTACTGTATTATTACATCATCTAAGTAAATTCTTATTCAGAAATAAAGCAAATGGGTCAAGAGGTAGAGCCTGAAGGTTAAAATAAGCGCCACCAGTAATCCCAAGGGCATTATCTAAGGCCTCTCTTAATTCCAAAGGACAGCTTCTAAAGGATATATTACAGGGTCAGTAAACTAAGACGAAAATGTGCACAGTCATGTTAACACCACAGAAGTGCAGAAAACATACACATTACTAGTAGCATGAAACAGAGGCTAAAAACTCGAGAGAACTGTCAAAGGAACACAGCGTGGGTACTATAGTAAGTGCTCAGTGCTATTTCCTTTTTCTTTAGTTGGCACAGTATATGTGATTTACATACTTGGGTAAGAGCTCTTTCATTAGAGACCAGCGAGTCACTCCTGAAATGGTTTCCAAAAAAATGTGCGTACATAAGACTTTTTTCCCAGGCAGATTTTTCAAAGGAGTCCATAATACAAAAAGATTAAAAATCACTGCTATGGATCCATCGTTAAGTGGTGGGCAGATAATATTTCTGGGAAATGCCTTAAGACTAATGACTGAAATGACAGTATGGGAGCAATGTTGAGAGCAGAATGCAAATCACAGAAAAGAGAATGAGACTCTGGATCAGTGAGAACAGTAAATGAACACAGCTAACAAATTAAGATGCACACCTGAAACAAATGTTAAACTATTTTAAAATATTGTAAAAATTACTTTATATTTTGCTTAAAATTTAAATGGGAGACTACTAAAGAATGACTCATGGAAGAGGCAGAAAAAAGATTATCGCACACTCTTAAAATTTATGGGTTTTCTTGTGAAAAAGAATATTGTACTCATCCTTGTACTTTGAACAAAGGAACTGTAAATAAAAGTGTGATTTATGTTTGTATTACATTGGCCCATAGATACAACAGTCAAATTTACATGTCCTTCAAATTAACTAATTAGTAACTTCACTGCTGACAGGTGACTACTTTAGAGGTTAACCTTAATAACCAAGGTGCTTTTGTGCCTCATATAGGGAAACAATTATTTTATACTTACCACTCCACCCACACACCGATCTCTATTTCTTTTCATTATGTCTGTGAATTACAAACAGAAAGAATGTTTAACAAATAGCTTAATTTCTGCTAAATTTTTAAATTATAAGTGAGAAAGTTTTAACTCACCCAAAAATTCAGCATGTGAGTTTCGACAATGAAGAAACATTGGTAATTTTGTTTGTTCTGACAGTTCAAACTGTTTCTCAAAATATCTGCATAATGCAAAAGACATTTCCTCGTTAAAATTTTATTTTAGCATGAGAAAAATAATTACATCTAACGATTTTTTAAATCAATGCAATTTTACTCTTTTGAAACTATCAGAAATAAATAGCACATTCAAACATTTCCAACACATCAGGCTTAGCAGAAGGCTTTTGTAACACACAAGTTCTAGAAAGGGATATTTCATTTTCTGGGAAGAGGAAAAAACATATTGAGTCTTTTCTAAATTATCTTCAGAAACGCCTGTTAGTTCTTCCATGATAACGACTGGGTAAATATGTAGAACTTTACTACTGACTCTTTGAAGTAAACAGCAGTAAGATTTATGTTTAGAGTGACTGGGGATGTTCTCCCAAGTAATTGCTTTTAACTACCTTTCCTACCAAATCCCAGCAGACGTGCATATCCACCCCATATCCTGCAGCACACGGTGGTGGTACAACTTTCACTACTGTCTTAGGCCACACTAGCTGGCCGAGTCCATCAGTGCGATTCAACTCATGAAAATGAGAAGCCAGGTAGAGCTTTATACCCAGTGCTAATCAATTCCGCTTTGCAACCAATTTTCTATATGCTGTTATAAAAGAAATTACCGATACTGAGCAAAAAGACAGAAAAAGGATTCTCCTAAAAATAAATGCAAGTATTTGTTAAATGTTGTTAGGTGCTGTTGAGCTGGTTCTGACTCATAGCGACTCCATGTATTACAGAACGAAACGTTGCCCGGTCCTGTTGCATCCTCACAACAGTAGGTATGTTTGAGCCCTTTTTTGCAGCCACTGTGTCAATCCATCTCGTTGAGGATCTTCCTCTTTTTTGCTTACCCTCTACTTTACTAAGCACAGTGTCCTTCTCCAAGGGAATGTTCCCTCTTCACAACATGCCCAAAGTACGTGAGATGAAGTCTCACCATCCTTGCTTCTAAGGAGCATTCTGGCTGTACTTCTTCCAAGACAGATTTGTTCATTCTTCTGGCAGTCCATGGTATAGT